CACTTGGTATAATAAAAAAAACAAATATACGCAATTTTTCAACCGAGATTTTTCTTTTTTTTTTATTGTAGGTATTGCAAGTCTAAACAGTTATTTAAATTTTATATGAAATAAAATTGTATAGGTATAGTTATAATTTTGATGTGCATTAATGCCATTTTATAAATTTATAATAAGTATTATATATATTTATTGTAAACCCCTATTGCATAACGTTGCTTTTAAATTGAATATGTCACTCCAAAGTTGCCTGGAAATTATTTCTAGGTTTGTAATATCCTGTTTTGATTGTTTCTGTATTCTGTGGTTTTGTTCCTGGAAACGTCTAATGAAACTACTTTATTTTGTCAAATATAAATCAATTAATAGATTGCATTCGTATTTCATTACGTGTAAGTACGTATACTTTTTAGGCTCCTATATTATCTAATGTTAGGTTATACTAATATGAGTGACTTTACCTATCTTAAATTAGATTAATTATACGTGTATTTAAATTGCCTTACCGTAGGTAAGGGATAGATAACAAATGGGAATAGCTGTGAGCTAGTTCTATTTCAAAAACCTTATTTGTCTACTAAAAACCAGAAAGACCTACTATTCATGGAATTAGTAATTCTTTGTTGTTATAGAGCTGTTATTAAAACATTTTCGTTACGAAATAGCTATAAATTGTACCAAGTAAATAAAATTTGGTTAAAAAATACAGTTAAGTCAATTAATGTTGTAGTCAAGGATATACATAATTTCAAAAATTTCGAAAAACGAGCCCAACATCTTTGAAACATTTGATCTTAGACAACTTTTAGAAGATTTCTTTAAAAATTTTGTTTTACAAAAGAAAAACAACAATACTTACTCGTTAATCCCATCTGAAATCACCTCCACACAGTCCATTTGACAAATATATCTCAGAACAATCCGATATTAGCTAAATGCTGCACTGTCACTTTGAAATATCGACACGCGGCTCTCGTTACCGTATTGCTCGACGTGAGGCGGGCGTTCGTGACGCAGTCCCGCGCCAATCTGAAGTGAGAAGCCGGGACGCCAGCATTACAATACATTATAGGGATAATGGTGCTCTAGCATCGCTTTGCAAGCTCTGACACTACTTTATATGACAGTGCACGGGAGGAAGATATCGATTCCTGGAAGAAAATTCGAAAATTAATATTATGCTAGGTTATATTATTATGTATGGAGAAAATAATGTAATATTGATTGTATACTAAAGAGATGTTTTGTGAATGTTCTTACAAATAAGAAGAATGGTAGGTAGAGATGTCTTCAAACTTTATTTTCTGGTTGAAATTTTGATTAAGTAAGTAACACATAAAATTGAGTTTTACATTATATTATTATTTATGGTCCAAATAATGAGAAATATTGATTATACACTAAAGAATTTCCGGGTGACTTTTTAGAAATAAAAATTTGTTGTTGAAATTTTCTTTATGTAACACTTAATTGACCTTTGTTATGGTCGATTAAGTATGGCTGATTTCATTCAGAAACAATAATCGTTATTCAAGTTTGTAAGTACATAAGCTTAACACGGCGATGAGTATGGCAGAAGAAGCATGAGAGTATATGAACGCTGTACTATTATTATGAAATATTCTATAATGCGTATTAAAATTAAAATGATAACAAGTAAGTATCACAGAGTAAGCCAATGTACAACAGGCGGCCTTATTGTTAAGTAGTAATGTGTTGCAGGCAACCTTGGGATAGAAATTTAATGGCAGTGCTCCTCTAATCTTTGTGATTCAAAGCTTATGCAATCGCGCGTTTGTATCGATCCAGTCGCGCGTTTGCATCGCGTTTGTATCGCTGCTATAAGTCACCGTGTCGGTTACACACACTCTTATAACATGTTTATACGAATATATTCCAGATTCGCACCACATTAACGTCGAACAGACGGACTTATATAGGCAACTAACGTCACAATTAGTCCTAAATAAACGCCACTAGTTACAATCTAGTTTAGTTTGCACTATTGATTAAAGGTCAGACTGTCTCCGTAGTTCTAGATCATTTCTTTAGTCAATATTATATTTTGTAGACATGGACTTTATGGGAACGTCGAAATAATTATTAATTCTGCTTATAATGACAGGTTTTAAACTTACACGTGTAAATGTATACACACCAAATATATATAAAATATATTCCCGGACACATAATTCGAACCACCTCGCGTTTTTGCCTTACAGGGCTAGAATACAAAAATAGTGTTAACATCGAAGAAAAAGATTTCCCCCGGTTTTGCAAGTCCAAATTTATAACAAGAACTTATGGAAAAGATTTTTAATATAATAGTTCCAAAATTGCGTGGAATAGTTCCTGGTCAATCGAACATTGTTTCAGCTTAGGGCATTTATTTAATACTGATGCGAGGTGGCTCTAATTATGTGTCCGGGAGTGTATATTATATATACATATATGATATAATATATAGACACGAGCACACACTTACAACAAAACGTATTGAAAATCACTCCACTAGTTTGTTACAATTATTAATAAAAAGATCGAACACTCAGAAAAAAGGGGCTGGTAACTGTAAAGATATCTATCTAACTGGGTGACGGAATATCACAGATTTCTCATAGATGGCGCTACGGCTAAAAATATATTGACAATCTTTTTTTAATATATGTAAAGCTAAAACAACGGTTAATTTTCATTTTTGCCTAGGTATACATCTTTTTGTGTTGTGCCTATATTTGTTATATATGTATATCTGTACCTCCAGTGTAAAACGGTTAAACTCGAGTTTATCCAAAATGTGGATTTTGATACCGTGTTTTTCGTAATGCTACATCGTTTGTTTTGACACTTGTGGTTATTCGATCATTGGCTGCGAAGATAACGATTGTGCAAAGGGATTGATGTTAGCAAAAATTTACAAGTAGTGTGTTCAAAATGGTTTATTTTTAATTTATCTCACAAGCAATAGCGACATTCGCAAATCATGTTTTAACTATGGTTAACGTCTACTTTTACCTGTATGAACAAATTAAATGTCGTACGAGTGTTGATATAAAGAGATGAAACTACTATACATTTTTTGTTTTATAATACCGGCCTAATATTGTGTAAAGCGGTAACAATTATGTTTTATCGATAACCCCGAACAATTTTAAGAGCGTGAATTTGTGTAAAGCGGTACTATTTTAATTTGATCACTTTTTGATAACTGTTTGATTTCTTTAGATAAACTCTACTTTAACCATTTTACACATTTCCATTTTTTTGTGTAAAGGGATATAAACAATTTATGTAAGCCAACATCTGTGTCATTTTTGCAAAATACAGGTTAATTTTACAATTAACTTATTACTTACCCTTTATTCTATCTGAGAAGATTTGAAAAAATACTTTTTTTTGTGAATGAGTGAGAAAAAAACTGAATCAAAACGAGTTTTCGCTCTCAAGTAAAATAGCATTTTTTGAGTTTAACCCATTTACACTAGATGTACAGATATTTAGAGACGCCAGACTCCAGACACCAGACTTCACAAACCGACCGAAACTATATTCAATAACATGTGAAGAATTGAGGACCACGGTATATTAAAAGTTTCTTTGTGAAAGATATTAGACATTTTCATTAATTTTTATTCATTTTCATATTCAAATTGAATCGATTTCTTCGCGTATTTATTGATTGTATCATTAAATTTTTTGTGAAAATATTCCACTGGTTTTTTATTATTATTGATGAGGTACAGTACACGAAAGAAGCTGGCGTATGCATACGTTATTCATGTCCTGAGTACTTCTAACGTAAACTAGGTATCAATTTGCAGGGACCAGGCCTTACCTCATCGTGGTGCCTCCAGAATTGAGTATAATATAGTATCATGGTTTTTGTTTTAGTCTCACTACAATGTTCTACTTCTTGGTTGAGAATATGACTTTAAGCGGCTGTTAATATTATTGAAAGAGTTTGGCAAATCCTATAATTACGACGGCAGATAAGTTCATCATGAGAACAGATACTTCACCATGGCGGCTACTGCTAAAGACGCGGCTACGGCTAGGAGGCTACTTCTGGGCCACAATAATATAGTGTAGGCCATCGATACGACAAGAAAGAAAGATTATTGCTGACACGAAAATCGAAGAACACAAAGAAGAATTCCATCGATCTAATTGGAATCGACTCTGATGCCATGCCGGGGCTACCGCTTTTGCCAACTAATCTAGTCTATAGTTCAGTGGCGAATCGCAGTCAGCCTTAACTATGGGACCTATATAAAAACGTCAATATACTCAATTTTAGATCCTATGCACGAACAATAAGTACGATATTGTAATAAAGGGATAGACTTAGTCGAATTCTTGTGGACGTTACCATCCCACATAACACCACGAGACTCTCTCTCGTGAAAGCCGAAATCAAGAAAATTCAAAAATAATTGTTATTTTATCTCGCTATTATTTCGATAATTATACGTGGGGCGCACTATAAGTTTCCGGAATGAATAAGAAAAAAATACTATAAAGGGTCAGAAATGAATTTATTGTTTCTCAAAATATTCTCCGTTAGAGTTAATGCACTTTTTCATACGAATGAACCAATTTTGAAAACATTTATGCCACTCCTCCGTGACAATCTCTGAAACATATGAAAATCGTTGACCGCGTAACTGGTTCTTAATTTTTGGAAATAAATAAAAGTCACAAGGTGCCAGGTTGGGACTGTATGCGGGATGGCTCATAAGGTCAACGTTGTTCTGGCCGTGTGAGAACTGGCATTATCGTGGAGTAAGATGATACGGCGCTTATGGTTATTTTTACGGAGTTTTTCAATAACTTCCGGCAAACAAATGGTCGTGTACGAATCACTATTCACAGTACAACGATTCTCCAAAGCAACAGTAGCCACGTGTCCAGTTTTATTAAAAAGAAGCAATCATCCGCTTACAGGCACTATGCACGCGCGCCACTTTGGTTGGTTTCGGCTGATCTCGAAAGACCCATACGCTCGATTGCTGCTTTGTTTTGGGATCGTAACTATAAATCCATGTTTCGTCACCTGTTATTATGTCCCACACCAAATTTGACTCCCCTTCGTTGAATCTGGTAAGCATGGCACTGCACCAAGTGACGCGATCCGTTTTTTGAGCCTCAGTCAAATTGTGAGGGATCCACTGAGAGCACAGTTTTTTCACACCCAAATGTTTGTGTACTATTGATTATATTTGACTCATGCCTATGCCTAAAGATGCCCGAATCTGATGGTATGTCACATGCCTGTCTGTTTTGATCATACGATGCACAGCATCGACATTGTTGTTGTTTTAGCAGTGGACGGGCGGCCATCACGAAATTCGTCACTGAGATTCACACGAACGCGTTTGAATTCTGCAAACCAGCTATAAACAGTCATCTTGCATGGTGCTTCATCGCCAAAAGCAGTTTGAAGCCGAGCGAAGCTCCGCTGAACTGTTAAATTGCACTCAAAGTCGTAGAAAATCATATTTCGAAAATTTTCACAAGTTAAATCCGTGGTGATGTAGACAACCATTTTCTAAAATGACGCCACAATGTAAAAACAAGTGACAGTCAGATGAAACAAACTGCATTCTACAGCCAAAGAGTTCCATTTTCAAATGTTGTTATTACTTTTTAAATATTGTTTATGTAAGTAGCCAGTTCCGGAAACTTATAGTGCGCCCTATGTAGTGTACCTACCTATTTACGATTAAGATAGAAAATTTGTTATTTTATTGATTTTTAACGTTGTTTCGTGTGATGACTAAAATTTTATAAGTACGAAAAAATAATAAGTATTATTTATTGATTGTCGTTGCTCGTTTTATTTTTGTTTATATAGATGTAAAACTTATTTTTATTAACGCCATGAAAATTTTCACTTATTTTCTCAAACTAAAAAATTGCTGTCTCACAGACCGCGCGCGTCTGCTTATGTTCTGCGTAAGGGTGCGTCCACTGGAAGATTAATAGTAAATACATAAACAAT